GTGACATCACTATGCCAGCCACTTCCCTGGTATATGTGTTTTGTTAAATTCTGCATTATTCTGACTAATTTGCAGTTGTAGTGTTTGAATTCCATTTTCATTTGTCAGTCATCTTTTATAACAGCCTTTCAAATTATTATTTTTCTCGTTGTGCAGAAATTATTTTTTCTTTTTTTTTAATGGGGAATTTTCAGTTTCAGTAATGTTTGAAATTTTTACATTGAGTGTGTGTTGTATGTAAGTATATGAGCAAAGTTAATCGGTGCTCTAGGGAATAAGTTTATGATGTATACACAGATTTAACAAGAAGGATGTTTACCAAAGTATTGTTCATAAGAGCAAGAAATCAGAAAACTTAAATATCCAATAAAAGAAAAATGATTGAATAAATTATTTATGACCATGCAATGGAAGGTTGTATGGGGATCTTATTGTTTCTAGGCCTTCTCAGTGGACAGATCTAGGAAATACATGAATGTTCACATATATACAATGTGCCCATCTAAACATGTATGCATCTTATCTGTTTGCCTGTCTGTCTATTGTCTATTTATCTATTTTTTTCTAGAACCCATGAGTTCGCACTGACAACTTTTATTACAAGCTGACATCACGTGGTTTGTTTTTACCACTTCCTTTCTTTATTTATGTCCCTCTTTCTTGTCAGTGAGAAATCTTGCTCCCATCATTCTCTGTGTATTTACTTATTTGACCAATTTCCTTGTATAGAAATGTCTTTTTCCTGTGGGCTCTCTCCCTGGCCCAGTATCGTGAACTCAGGCGGGTCAGAGCTCACCAGATCCTCCAGAATTCCCAGTCTTCACTGGTAAGAGTGTCCCTTGATGCAGAGAAAACAATTTGAGAATTTTTAAAGGAAGATGCTTTGAAAACTGAGGGCATTTTTCATTCTTTTGAGTAATTATTTCATATGAAGAATTTTTTGGAAAGAAGATCTCTTGTGCTCATTATGTCACTTGTAATTTTCTCCACATGTACAGTTCAGTTGCAATTATGTAAGTCCACACCCTGCTGCTGTTATTTCCTGCTGTAGAGGGAGATCCATCCTTAGTTTTTTAAATTGTTTTGCTTGTTTATATTGAGAGGAAAGTGACAGTTGAGTATGTTAAAGGACATGATGATTTGAGATTGACAGGGTTACATTTCAGTCATCGTTGTTCGATTTGCATTTATCATCTATCAAGTTCTGAGGTTTCTATCATTGTCATGCCAAGGTGCTCAGAACTACTTAGACACTTCTGATATTTTCCCGTGGCTTCTGTGGCTTGTGTGGAGAGGTCTCTTTTCCTTAAATGTAAGATTTGTAAATTCTTATTATACTGTAGTAAGTATTAGAGCAGTGCTTGATTTGTTTTATAGTTTAAAGTTATTTTTGCATTCCTGGAAGTATTATAAGGAGAAATATGAAAAACTAGTATCGAATGATTAAATGCTTACTGTATACCTGGTGCTGTTCTAGCCACATGTGTTATTTTCTTTAATCTTCAGAAAAATAGGTGAACAAACTGTGGGACCCTAAGTAATTAGGCTTAGAAAATTGAGTAATTCCTACATGTTTACAAATTTAGTAAGTAGCCCAAACTGTCTTCTTATCTCAGGAGTCTGTACCATCCAGAGGAGCATGGGCTCTGAGTTTTTAAAAAATTCTCTGTGATATAGTAAACTTTTCCCCTCCAGACTGCTTTGCCAGTGCCCCAAAGAGCTTTTATACATAGATCAAGGTGTCCTCTGCTTTTCTCAGTCCCTGTGTAGTCTGAACCTCATAAGCACTCAGCAACAATAGTAACAGCGTTACCACTGCTACCACCAATAGGAAAACAAGCAGCTGCCATTTCTTGTGTGTTAACTATGTGACAAATACTATCCTTAGCACTTTATATGTATTAACCTATGTGGTGCTTGAAATAACTCCATTGGTACCTCTATTATCCCCATTTTATAGATGAGGATACTAAGGCAAAGGTTAAGTAACTTGCCCGAATCAAATAACAAAGAAAGTTTACAGCTAGGATATGAACCCAGACATTTGGGGCACTGACGCTATTGTCTGCTCTCCCATCCTTCCTCAGTAAATATTTGTTATGCTAGACCTGTGAGTTGAAAACAAAATCAATTCTGATTAAGTTAAGCTGAAAGGGATTTATTAGGAGGATATGCAGTAACTCTCTGCATTAGTAGGAGTCCTGGAAAAGCAGGCTTGGAAAATGAGTATGACCAGTAAAGAGTGGAGGATACAGGCAGACTGAACCATGGAAGGAGCTTGGTCACGGGGCCCCTGCTGGTCCTGCTGCCACTGGCCAGCACGGTACCACGCTGCTGGCTCTGGCCCCGGGGCTCTTGCGTCTGCTGCCGTTGCTGCAGTATTAATGAACATCTCTGACCATTCTTTCATCTTTGTATCGCTCTCTAAGATTCAGAGGCCCAGGTTGAAATATTCGCTTGATGGAGCCCAAGCCACGCTTTATAAAGGCCAGATTAGATATGCTTTTTTCTTTAATTGTTCTGGTATACTCTGGGAAAAAGAGTAACAGAAAGAAGCGGCAATTTTCCCAACGTTGAACTTCAAAGATTAAGATATTTGCTCTGTAAAACCCGTCCCTCTTAATGTGGTGAAATAGGTCAGTAAAATGGTTTGAGGAATTGGCAGTTAAAGCCTAAAACGGCACTGGTTGTGTGTTTGTTAAATCCAGTTAAGCTCTAAATGATCATTTTTGGTTCATTCTGTTTGGATCATGGATTAAAGAACATAACTTCCAGGTGGCTGGTAATTGAGTCATAAAATACATCTAGGTTTTCTAGCTGATTTTAACTGTAGGTGGAGAAATTCACTGGATATCAAAAGGTAATACTCTTTAGAAAAAGGATGGTACTTTTGTCCATAAATATGGTCGAGATCAGTGTTTTAAGAATTTTGTTATACAGGCCAAAGTTCACTTTAACAAGTGCTGTAATAAAATACTTTCAAGCCTTATCTGATGGCTCACTGATTGTAAGCACTAATCCCTATAAAAAATTTCAGTGCAGTGCCAGGATCAGGCCATGAAACAAGATTTGACTTTCATCACACAAAACGTAATGGAAGCTCATTTTACTAGAATTCTGAGCTTAGTAACAATTACATGTTTGGAGTGCGTATAATAGGCCAGGCAATGTGTTAAGTTGTGTGTGTATGTGCGTGTGTGTGTAGTCTTTTTAATCCTCATAACGACCCTATAAAACAAACATTATTATTGATACTTTTAGTGTGGTACCAAGACTAAGAGAAACAACTTGCCCAAGGTCACACAGTGAGCTGTGAAGCTGGGTTTAAATCCACATTTGAATCTCCAGCTTGTTTTTGATGGTGACACTGCACTGTGGAAGAAAAGTCATTAATGAAATCACAAGTTAACTATGAATTAGCATTCTTGAATTTTTAGGTCAAGAGATTTCTTTGTCACTATTTCTTAGAGAACAACTTCCTCATTTTAGATTCAGTAAGTCAGGCAGTAAGTTAAAAGAATATAAATTATTGTCATATAGTCTTTTTACTGTTCATACCTAATACCATTCTCACACATGTTGTTATGTTGGATGCATTAGAAAGATGATTTTCTCACATTTACTGTCAGATGGGCAGGATAAGGTAGGTGGTGTGGCATCTCAACTCATCTCTCATACTCAGAACTACAGATTATTAGGGATTTGTGAAAATACTCCATCTTTTCTTAAAAACATGTGAGTACCATCTCTTGTGGCAGCAATCACTGAAATTTACCTAGCATCTTGTAATAGAATATTTGTCTTTATTTGTATTGTTTTCACTTTCAAGCTTCAACTTGAGTTCAGGTTTTCTAGGATTGGGAAGACAAGTTTTGTCCTTGCTAGTAACTTTCATGGGTTTGCTGTCTTTTAAGTCTTTTATATGTACTCTAGGAAACCTATGAATTACAGAACTTTCTTTCTTGTATTAAAAAGTGTTTACCCTAATCCTAACCCTTATTATGAATGTTTCTTTTCTACTCAGTTTAGTCTGTGTGCTTATGAAACTACTTGCTATGAAACACACACACAGAAGAAAGAAAAAGCCCTGCTCTCAGTCCTGTTAATTTGCAGCAGCTTAAATTCAAGGCATGAGCGTGGCCAACCTGATGCAGGGCGAGAGGGCGCCCAGATCCGCTGGCGTCAGGACAAAAGACTGGAAAATAATTTTTCAAAAGCTTTTATACTTACTATACTCATTGTGTTTACTAAAATTCTGTTACTTTAAATCGGAAGTGTTTTGCCCCTCGATTTTATTTTGCTGTGTATAGTTTTATAAGTAACAATCAAGCTGTTTTCAGGATGCTCTCTGGAGCCCAAGAAAGCCAGATGTGGGTCTGGGGTCAGGGGTTAATAGATTCAAAGCTGCATCTGTAAATCCCTCTACAGCATGTTCTGCACACGTACATCCAATAGCCCCTCAACGCTGTTTAGTCAGGTTTGTAGACATGTACCTGGGCAGATAGTGGGATAAGCTGTTACGTTGTTACTGTCATTAGCTGAGCTCTCAGGAGAAGCCTGCTTTATATTCCAACAAGAGAACCTATTATGTGTGAATGGAAGAACTAATAAGGACCTGAAGATTTTTTTTTTCTTTAGTTTGCAAAGTAGTACACCTCTGTATGTATGGTAGGTAAATTTCTTTTCTCCTGTGTCACCGGAAGAGGTAGAAATTATCTGAAATTTGCAAGTCATGATAATGATACTTTAAAAGCTTCATGCCTCTGGACCTGGGGCCAGGGCTCGGAAACTGTTTCACGGTAGCCAACCAAGCATTCCTTGTAGCAGGGTGAGACCTGCAACACAGTGCTCTAAGCTATGTTAAATTGGGGTGATTTTTAGAAAGTGACAAATGTATTATGATTTCTAAATCTGAGGTGGGTTCTACCAGCCCTAAAGGGCTGCCACGTCACGTTATGGCTTGCCTGCTTTGTAACTGCCTCCGCTGTCTCTTCCTCCAGCCCTGTATGATGAGATCCGTCAGTTTCGCAAGGCTTGTGGGTCAGCCCATCTCAAAACCATCCTAGCAACAGGAGAACTCGGATCTCTTACTAACGTCTATAAAGCCAGTATGGTAGCAATGATGGCAGGTAAGCATATTATATTCAAATGATGATATGTATTGAATTGATGTTTTGTAGGTGAAACAAATAAGTGAAAACATTTGATTACGAGCCAAAAGTGCTACCCACTTGGATTTTTGGCGGGAAAGGGTCAGATATTTTGCGACTACAAGTACAGTATGAAGTGCTAAAACACTGGGCTCTCTTCCACATTTTCTGGTGGCATTTCATCGCTGCACTATCCGTGTAGGGCAGTAGATGGCTCTCTTGTTAGTGAATTGCCTTCCTTGTTATTCTTCGATTATTCATTCATCAACATGTTAGACAGGAATTTCTTTAACTCTGACTTATTCTTCTCTGTGAATTTAAGTGTTTGATTTTTCTTCGTGATGGTGTACCTGTACTGTCTAAGGAAACCTATGCTTCTGTGTTAATTCTTTTTCTTTTTAATTTAGTGCAGTATCATTGTTTTTGAAGCTTTCAAACGTAGGTTGACTTACTCTTTTACACATCCAAGCTTGAAACCCAGGAGTCGAGCTTGATTCCTTCTTTCTCTCACCTTCCCATAAAATCGGAGAACAAGGAAGTCTTGGGTGCTGGACCTCTTTTCTCTCTCTGATACATCTCTCCATGCTGAGTGCTGCCGTGTCAGGCCACTGTCATTTCCTGCTGGGGTCTCTTCAGCAGTCTCCGAACTAGTTTCCCTGTCTGTGCTTTTGTCCGCTTCCAGGCTGTTCTCCTCACTGTTGCCAGAATGATCTCTTAAAAATGCTGATTTGATTGTGGTGCTCCTTGCTTGAAATCTTTCCGTGGCTTTCCTTCACCTTCAGGGTCGACGGTAGATTCCTTCGGCCTGATTTTGAAAATGGTCCTTCCCCAGACCCTGCCTGTGCCCCCTCATTCTCCCTCCGCACTGGTGGCTCCAGCTCTGTGGAATTACTCGCAGCTTTCTTTGGGAGGCACCGTCCAACCCTTCCGAGTCTTTGTCTGGCCTGTGCCCCTGCCTTGAAATACCTTCTGCCCAAATAGCTGCTTAACGTCTTTGGATTCAGCGCAGGTGTCACTTTTCTCAAGAACATTTCCCAATACTGCTTCCTCCCTGCCACGTGGTCCATTATCTCTCCATTGTGCCTCCATAGTGTCCTGTTAAAACCTCTATCAGGTAACTTATCGCACTGTTCTGTGATAGAGTATTGAATTTCTAGGGGTCCTTCTAGTGGCTCCATATTCGGGTGAAGATATGAGATTTCTCAGGTCTTAACTCTGGGCCTCTATTAGAGTCACCCGCTAGATTTTTATACCCATGTACTTTTAGAATACTCTGTCACACCTAACACTGTTCCCTGGCACTCAATTGAAGAGCAGCCCACCAGGCGTGAATGATGGCATTGCTCTGCTTACTGCCACTGTATCCAGAAGACCTCCATTCTGGTTGTCTCATTTAGAGCACAATCTCTGAAAACCTAAGGAGAAGAAAGAATAGATGGTCATTGGTGTGTTGGCTCTTCCAAGATCTATAGTAATAGAAGACTCTCTGCAAGTTTTAGGAAACTGGGTAAAGCCCCTTGGAGTGTGAAGTGGCCAAGGAGCCTCACGTGTCATGCTTTTGGCCAGAGCAAGGGATTGTTAGCCCAGAATGCTGTCATTCAGGTCACAACGAAAGTATGCTCAGTCTGGGCCATCCTCTGACTCTATCCTCATCAATGCACCCACTGCTCACAATAGGAACATGGTGTTAAGTCATCACGCTTGGATGCTCCTGTTCCACCCTCTCCTCCACGCATCCACAGACAAACACGTGACTTGAACCGGGCTCTCCCCTGTATCTTCCTGCCTGCAATAGCCCTGTCCCCTGTTCGTGTTGTTGTTTATCTCCTTCATTTAATCACTGTCTACTTTAATATTTTTGTAATCTTCATGTCAGTCCTATAGTTGATGGAATTGAAAATTAAGTGACTTGCCTAAGGTCGCAAAACCAAGAGACCACGTGTAGTCATCATTTGAACCCAAGTGGTTCCAGCTTTATTGCTTTTTCTGTCTTCCAAGACACTGTGCTGGATCTTATCATAAATTAAAGACACAATCTTTGTGAAATATCATATGTGAGAGCATCTAGCACACTTCCTGGCCCACAGTTTATGCTTCCTCTTCTGTTAAGAAGGTATGTAAAAGAAATGAAGTAGTTTTAAAATTTTGAAGAATTTTTTTAAATTTAAAAATATTTTGACCTATAAATTCACATTGCTTCCTATATTTGTGGTTGTTTTAATTTTTCCTTAAAAATTAATTTCTTTGAATGTAAATTTTTATTCAACCAAGCTCAGGTGTTAAGTGTACAATGTGACGAGTTTTGACAATATGTATATTACATTATCCCAGAAATGTCATATGTGCTTCTTGCCTGTGAATTCTTTTTGTCTCACATTCTGCCCCACATGCAACCACTGATCTGATTTTATCACCCACCATAGATTAGCTTTGTTAATTTTAGAACATCATGTGAGATTTTGTGCTTGTTTCCCCCCAACCAAAGATAATAGTGGTGAGATCTATTTCTGTTATTTTGTTAACTTATCACTGACTACCTAGAATTAATATTGTTCCACTTTACACTCAGTCCTTTGGATTATTTTCATGTTTTTCTTCCGCCTATGTTACGAATTTCTAAATACAATGATGTGATTTTTGTTTAAATATTTGTGGGTTTTTTTAAAAAAAGATTTTATTTATTTAGTTTTAGAGAGGAGAAGGGAGGGGGAAAAGAGAGGGAGAGAAACATTAATGTGTGGTTGCATCTCGCGTTCTGGGGACCTGGCCTGCAACCCAGGCATGTGCCCTGACTGGGAATTGAACTGGTGTCCCTTCGGTTCACAGGCCGGCGCTCAGTCCACTGAGGCACACCAGCCAGGGCTGTGTTTTAAAGAAATTAAAAGAAAAAAAGCTACGCGAAGCCAGTCCTTTATATTTTCCCACACATGTGTCATTTCTATCTTTATTCCTTTCTGCAAGTTTACTGGTGATTCTCTTAGGTTCTGTTCATCTGAAAATATCTTCATTTCACTCATGTGTTTCAAGGATTGTTTATTATATATAGAGTTCTGGGCTGACCGTTGTCTTTTTTTAAAATTAAAACATCATTATGTAGTTATGTTATTAAATACTTTGTAACAATTAAAAGATATTTTAGAATAACATTAGAATTTGCTTATGACACAGGGAACATGAAACAGATTTTAAGGTATGTAGTATGACCTCAGTTTGGGCTAAAAGTTATATACAATAGTTACACAAAAAACTTCAGGAAGGAAACATAACAATGTTAAAATTTTTTGTTTTCTATTTGTACTTTTGATTCTTTTATTGTTTTTTCCTTTTTTAAGATTTAATCTTTATCTTTTCCATCACCATTTAGTCCTCTTATACCCCACAGCTCCCAGCAGTCACCACTGTGGTCCATGTCCCTGAGTCCTTGTGCCTTTGTTTGCTTTTTTGCTCAATCCCTCCGCCCTCTAATGACTATTTTTATTTCAGTACTTTCATTCCATTTCTTGGAATTTCATTTCTTTCTTTTTTTTTTTTTTTGTAACTGATGTCTCATCTCATTTTACTCTGAATGTGATCAATCAATATATTCTCTTTTTCTTTGTTTTTCACTGCTTTCATCACAAAGTACCTAAGTAGGGTTTTCTTTGTATTTATTCTACTTGTAGTTTCCTGAGCCTCTTGGATCTGTAGGCTAATGTTTTTCACCCAATTCAAGATTTAAAAGAAATTTTTTTTGCAAATATATTTTTTACTTCATTCGCTCTCTCTTCTAGGATCTCAAGTACATTAATGTTAGATGTTGTCTCACAGGTTATTGAGGTTCTGTTTATTTTTTTATCTTTTTGCCGCTCTGTTCTTCCCATTGGCTAATTTATATGGATCTTTCTTTAAATTCATTGACCTTTATTTTCTGTCTCAAATTTTAAGCTCATTCTATGAAATGAATGCTATTTACATTTTTTAGTTTTAGAATTTCCATTTGATTATTTATTATAATTTTCATATCTCTGCTAAGCTTTCCTGTTTTTCACTCATTGAGATTATGTATTCCTTTAAGTCTTCAAACATATTTGAAATAGCCAGTTCAAAGTTCTCATCTGCTGATGTATATCTGGATTATCTTAGAGTGCATCTTAAGCTGCCAATTTTCCTGTGCCTGAAGAGTTGCTTTACATACTTTTTCAGTTGTAAAGTTATTTAAAGCAAGAAGGCAATTCTTGGTAAAAATTACTCTATCATGCCTGGAATTCTTCATTACTTCTGTTTTCCCATTAATTTAGCATGAAAATTTTAAAAAGAAAAGAGGTTTGTCCTTTATATTAATAATTTATCTTGTAATTTTGATAGCCATTTAGATTATTGCAAAACTAATTCTCTGGGGAGAGAGGTAGAGGTATATAATTATGTTAGTCTGGTGTTATACATCATCATAAGTATAAAAACTTAGTTAACCAAGGTGTTTGCATCTTGGTTAACTAAATGATTAGTAGCCTTTCAATTGTTTTAGGGGGAGAAGCATGGTCATTAGAGTATGAAGACCTGCACTCTTCTCTCTTGCACATTTTGTGACCTTGAGCAAATAAGTTAATCTGATTATCAATTCAAATAAAGTAATGTATATGGCTACATTATAAACTATAAATTAAATACTTTGCAAGTTACTAAAAAATATCAGTGTACCTTCCTACCCCATCCCACCTCAATAACAAAGGAACACAATTGAATCTCTTTTTCCTGCAGATTATTACAAAGCATTATTCAGAACATCAGTTTTCAAGAACATTTTGTGTAGTTTTAGGAAATAGAAGATACTGAGCTGGATTTCATTCTGTACTTATCCCAAAACTTGTTATATTGGTAGGATTGTTCAATGAATCTTGGATGTGAACTTGTTTTGTCAAGCTGTGACTCTCTCTTAAAAAAGAAAGGTATAAAAAGAGTCTGATTGTTTGAAAATAACAATTAGATGTGGTCTAGCTAGC